CTTAGGACTGCCTTTGCGGTATCCCAGAGGTTCTGATAACTCGTGTCTTCATTATTGTTTTGTTCTAAAAATTTGGTAATTTCCTTCTTAATCTCGTCTCTGACCCATCTATCATTCAGCATAAGGTTATTTAGCTTCCATGTTTTTGTACGAGACTTCAAATTCCTGTGGTTACTGAGTTCAACTTTTATTCCATGATGGTCCGAGAAGATGCATGGAATAATTTCTATTCTTTTAAATTTACTGTTGTTAGAATTATGACCTAAGATGTGATCGATTTTAGAATATGTTCCATGAACTGATGAGAAAAATGTGTATTCAGTTTTGTTTGGGTGAAAAGTTTTATAGATGTCTGTTAGGTCCAAAAGTTGAATAGTTAAATTTAAATCTAAAATTTAATTAGGGAAATGGAGGATCTGTCCAACACTACCAAAGGAGTATATAGAATTATTGTTTCACCATTCTTGTAATGCTTTGTTAAGGATAATGTGTTCCACTTTCATCGTGGTTAATACAAAAGATGTACCATCTCCATCTTTTTTAGTGGCTGAATAGTATTCCATGGTATATATATACCACAACTTGTTAATCCCTTCCTGGCTTGTTGGGCATTTAGACCATTTCCACATTTTGGCGATTGTAAATAGAGCTGCAATAAGCAGTCTAGTGCAAGTGTCCTTATGGTAAAAGGATTTTATTTTCTTCTGGTTAGATGCCCAGTAATGGGATTGCAGGATCAAATGGGAGGTCTAGCTTGACTTCTTTGAGGGTTCTCCATACTTCCTTCCAAAAAAGTTGTATTAGTTTGGAGTCCTACCTGCAGTGTAAAAGTGTTCCCTTCTCTCTACATCCATGCCAGCATCTGCAGTTTGAAGACTTTGTGATGTGAGCCATTCTCACTGGGGTTAGATGATGTCTCAGGGTGGTTTTGATTTGCATTTCCCTAATAATTAGGGATGATGAGCATATTTTGGTATGTTTGTTAGCCAGTCGTCTGTCTTCTTTAGAGAAGATTCTATTAATCTCTTTTGCCCAGTGGTATAAAGGATTGTTGGCTCTTTTTATGTTGCTTAATTTGAGTTCTCTGTAGATCCTAGTTATTGAGCTTTTGTCTAATTTAAAATATATAAATATTCTTTCCCATTGGGTAGGTTGTGTATTTGCTTTGGTTGTTGTCTCCTTAACTGTACAGAAGCTTTTCAGTTTAATTAAGTCCCATTTGTTTATTTTTGTTGTTGTTGCAGTTGCCACAGAAGTCTTTTTCTTTCTTTGCAGTTTTTGG